GTGCACAGTAGATATGTTTAGAGATCAAGAGGGCTTAATCTTAACTGGCAGGTAACTTACCAACAGATTTTTGATAGCTTTAACTGGAATTAGGTGTGATCCAGATGACTGGTAATTTTTGTTCGCCAGCTTATCGTCTTTTGCAGCTAGCTGTTTAATACATTTATTTGGATAAAGATATCCCCAGTTCTCCATTAGCATTATTTATGAAATAATTATTTCAAATAATGAGGATTTGTCATTTATTGATATTCACTGTATAATATATCCTATGACATCAGATATTTTATTTCAAGCACTTATTCTTTCCTTGTTTTGACTCCTTCAATGAGACTTTGTCCAGTCATCTACTCTCTTATTCCTATATTAATATGTCTAGCATCCTTTTGATACCGTTGGGGGGATATGTGTGTATTCATAAGTGAAGTGCGTTTTTCTTGACAGTAAATTTCTGCTGAATTATAGCCCTAATGAAAAAGTGTTATAAATTAATCTTTATTATTTGTTCATACTAACATTTTTATTCTGATCCTCAGTTGGAAAGCCTCCTAGAACAACTTGCATGCAACAGTAAAAACAAGACAGTCCTTTCCCACAGGCTTGTATTCTAAAAATACATGACAAAAATGGTACAAATGTGTGTTGAGGGGGAGGGAGAAAAGAGCAAACAAATATTTTAGCAGGACTGTGTGATCCTGTTTCTAATCATATCTTCCTCTCTTACATCCTATTGGAAGAGCTGATGATGATGACAGTTGAGGATCTTTCAGCAGCACAATAGAATAGCCTGGTTTCTCTTCTCATCCCATCTCCTTTGCTTAAACTCTTGTAAGAGAGGGTCACTGTAAGTGGTGGAGAATACAGTATGTAGGCATGAATATGGGATGTGGGAAGTTCTGTTATGTCTTTGACCTTTTGTGAGTTCTTTACTACAGTTCTTAGGAATGGCCATTTCATTAATGAGAGACAACTAGTGATGTTGCAATTTTATCTTTCTCACCACCCAAACTCCTTCGGGATAATGCTAAAAATCTATTGTCTACATCAGCCATTCTCAGTGGGGGCCATGTGGTCCCCTGGAGGTCCCTGGCACATTTGAAGGGGACTAGAAATGATTTCACACACCACTTTATAAGGTTCATTATAGGTCTTATACAATCCTGATTCAACCTGTTTTTCTTTTATATTGTGTTTATGACCAACCAAGAAAAGGTTAAGAATGGCTGGTATACATGATGAGCAGCATGATGTTCTGAAGGGAAAAGTGAAGTTAACTGAAAGAGAGAGCACTACCACTCCTAAAGCAAACCCCTGAAACTCTTGCCCATCTCCCCTGCCTCACTTTTTAGTTAGCTTTATTTCAATGCAGCCCTCCACCAGTCTGAAAGTCACACTACTTTCCAGCCCTTTTTCTTTGCCAGCTTCTTGCCCTGATAGCCTTTCATGGTTTGTGCATCCAACTGTATCACAGCAACTTCATAGTTTTGACTGAGATGGTAAGCCACTAGTTTTAAAGAGGAAGAAAAATTGCTTGCTGTTTGAAACATATAGCCTGGGATTTAAAAGGCAGAGGGCTTAGCTGCACTTTGTCATAAACACTCAGGGTCATGCTTTAAGTCTACATGTATTTCTTAAATATGGTTCTCTTTTGTGAAATAGAATCTGATGTTCTGTGGCTCTTACATTTTCAGAATAGTCAGACCTGATTGGATGAAATGCAAATTAGGATAGATGCCAAGGTAATCTTTCTGGAGCAAAATAGATGAAGTGAAATCTTGAAATCAGATGTGTATTCCTTTAATCATTTCACAGTACTATGAATCATTGCTAGATTAATTTTGGTATCTTGTTTATTTTTTCTAAGTCCTGTAGAAGTAGAGTTTCTTCTGGTGTATCTGTCTGTTGCTGTGACTTCACAGCATTTTCCTATGTCTGTTTGTACTTTTAAGCAGCATTGGTGCTGTGATTAAGACATAAGACATAAGAAATTTATTTCTCATTGCACTCACAAGTGGGTGCAACGAAATGAGGTGCTCTTCCCCAAGGTAAAACTGGACAACACCACTACAAAAAAGTTAAAATATACACAACACTCACCATACAAATATAGATACCCCATTTCTCCCAGCAATTAAAATTCCACCATAGACTTATGACCCCGCATTTAAACTCAATACTGCACTTGGGTAGAAGCTGTTCTTGAATCTGCTTGTCCTTGCTTTCAATACCTTGAATCTCCTTCTCGATGGTAATAGTTTAAAAAGCTGATGTCCCAGATGAGAGGAGTCTTTCAGTATGTTAGATATCTTCCTCTTACATCTGTTCTTATACAATTCTTCCAAAGAGAGGAGTGAACAGCCAATTATGTTTTGGGCCGTCTTAATCACCCTTTGAATTGCCTTTTTCTCTGCCACTGTGCAGCTTGTGAACCATACACAGAGGCAGTAGGATAATATGCTCTCAATCGAACTCCGATAGAAGGTGGTTAACAAACTCTCAGTCAATTGTTGTTTTCTAAGAATCCTTAGAAAATACAACCGTTGTTGCGCCTTCCTGATTAACGCAGCAGTGTTTGCACTCCAAGTCAGGTCATTTGTTATGATGGTCCCAAGAAACTTACATTCAACCACCTGTTCCACACAAACTCCATCTATATACAGTGGCTGAATGTCTGCTCTTTTTTTCCTATAGTCCACTATGAATTCCTTGGTTTTTTGGATGTTAAATAAAAGATTGTTTTTTTTGCACCAGCGGGATAGCTGTAATACCTCATCCCGATACGCAGACTCATCATCCCCAGAGATAAGTCCTACTAGTGTACTATCGTCTGCAAATTTGATAATCCTATTACTGGGATGGTTATTGGTGCAATCCGATGAATAAATGGAGAACAGTAGTGGACTAAGGACACAGCAAACTTAAAATTAATATTTTGAATAACCCTATATATCTATAACAAAGCAGTTTGTTAATAAAAATGCTTTGTATACATCACAGTCATAATTTACTTCATAATGTAAATACTACATATTGAGACTTCTTTTATATGGAGTTCATGTTTTTGCACTTTGGTGTATTAAACTTTAAAAGTATTAAATGAGTAGAGTGTGTGGAAGCTGAAATAACTATATTTAACACAGATACAATTTTTCGGATATTAGAATTGTAAGAAGAGCTGATATATAATTGTAGCGTTCAGCCCTGCCCTCACCTGTCCGTCACAGCTGAGCAGTGGAAAAGCAGCCAATGAGGGGACGGAAGGTGGTGCTAAAGGAGGAGGAGCTGGAATATAAATAGGGGTTTGTGGAGTATGAGAGGGATATTTTTGAGTGATTTGAGATTTGTGAGAGAGATTTAGTGAGTCTGGTCCTGTGAGCCAAAAAGTCAGTGAGAGTAGAGTTCTGTGTGTCAGTGAGTTCAGTGAGTGACAGATATTGATTATCAACTTGTGATTTACCTATTTTATTTTGTTAATCGAATAAACACGTTTTTAGTTTCAAAGCAACACTTGTCTCCTTAAATAATTGATACTGAACTGAAGTATTGGTGGCAGCAACTGAGTGAAAGAGTGAGCATCTCCTGGAGGCCTGAGATAATAGAGGCTTCAGCGTGCTCGCAACAATAACTTTGAGTTAAATGATAACTGATTGAATTGAGTAGAACAGTGCTTCCCAACCTTGAATGCTCAGATGTTCTTGGACTACAGGTTCCAGGAATTCTAGCCACCTCAGCTTGTGGAGAAAGCTTCTGGGATTTTTACTCCAAGAGCATCTGGGGATCCAAGATTAGGAACCATTGAAATACAAAACTAGACTTCTTCACTGTCTTTTATTTTTTGTATTCCTCATCGCATTTAAACAAGTGAACAGTGGGCCTTCTGTTTTGAATGCTGTCACACAGGTCTATATTGCTGCTGAACTGTGGTTGTTTTTTTGTACTGTTTTGATAAACTTTATGATTTGTATTCCATTTTGAGTGATTTGTTGGGGAACAGAAGAATGTTACATATGTTAAAACGTATTGTCAAAATCTTGTTTATTTAATCCTTCTGTACTGTGATAATGGATGCTCTTTAGTTCCCTTGAACTCTTTTGGCTAATTTTTGCAGAATATGCTTGTTTACTTCTTTAAATATGTCATAAAATACTTCACCTTTGGCAGTAGGAACTTTTTGTCTTACGAGCTTTCCCCAGGTGAAGTGCATCAGATGAATGGAGTATTAGGAGGGTATGGGATCCAGATTGCCACTCCTGAACCAGACTGAATCCCACTTGGGAGTAGGTGCCACTTTATATTCTTCCAGTGATATTATCTGGACCGTCTCTGACAGCCAATTTCTTCATGGCTTTCTTGTATATGATAAGGGGACAAGAAGTGACCTGCTCCTTACCTTTAATTGTTGGTTGTAAATAATGGGGAAATTTCTCCCAAATTTCTCTCAAGATGTCCCTATCTTGAGGTCACAGTATTAGTGACCTCAAGATAGGGACATAACTTGAGGTCACTAGTACTCTTGATGCCTTCAATTTAAAAAGTTTTGTGTATGTGTGTGGTTGTGGGAATGGAGTTTAACCCATTATTTCATGTAAAGAAGAGGAAGAGAAACTACATCTGAAAAGACAAATAATTCGATCATATCCATGGTCAAATGTAGTATTTTCAGAAACAGATGGAAACTAACTCTTGCCAAACTAATTCAAATCATAGAAAACATACTTCTCTGAAAAAGCCGTTTTTCTGGCAGCCTAATATAACTGATACAACACAATTCCCCCAGGATATCACAGATTAAAGACATGTCCCTAACAAGTGATTGTGATACTAAATGTATCTTATGTATGTTTATCCTAAATATTTTATTACTTGATGACATTGGAGCTTTATCAATCTGTTTTTGTGCAATTTGAAGCCTAAAATAAACACTGTAAATATATGATTATCTTGATTTTTAAAGAGTTAATTTCAGTTCTTGCTTCAACCAGTCTTTCTTTTTTCCTTAGCAGACATTGAAGAACCAGTATTTAGAAGACACTGGTTTGCAACTGGCGTCTTGAGATGTCTGGCTCGTACGATGATTCTGTTGGAGTAGAGGTTTCTAGTGATAGCTTCTGGGAGGTAATGTGAAAAAAAGAAGTCCATATGTTTTAATATACTTTGAATTTGATGACTGTGACATGCTCATTGGCTGTCCTGGCAGCCATGTGTTCTAGGTGTTTTGGATTTTAGCTCTTGGCACACCAGCTGATTAGCCATGCAAGTGGGATCTCATGTGCAAAACATCTGGATGGAATCAGGTTGAGGAGGCTTCTACATATATTTCAGTGGTTAAGGCTGAAAAATTATAAAGTATGTCTTCTTATCTATTTTGGGAGATCTATTAATTCTACGCTTGAATTCTGAAATTTAAAGGGTATACTTTGTAGCAGTAACTTCCTCTGAAACTACTCCTTAAATATCTCACTTACCTTGAAAGCTCTATAAATTGGTTCCAACTTGATGGCACATAACAGAATTGTTTTGGCTGGTTGGGGTAGAAAAAGCTATCAAAATGACCCAGGGGCTTCATCATTGTTCTTACAATGAAAGACTTAACAATTGAGGGGCTTTCATTTTAAAACTAAGGCTGCTAATGGTGGGTACAAGATGTTCCACATACTGAGAAGTTCCACATACCCATCATGTTATTAAACACATTGCTTTTCCAGTGAAACTGAAAATGATATAGAAAAGATAAGTGGGAGTAATTATTTGCAGTGTATATTTTCTAGAATCAACCACACAATATTTAGTGTTGGCATGTGACTTAGATTACTTTAGATTACTTTAGAAAGTGGTTGCTATTCAGAATCACAATTTTTGTATTGTTTGCATCTGGCTGTCCTCTGGGGACCTACAATCTATTAGAGGTCTGGTTAAAGGTTCTTTGGAAGCATCTGGCTGGTCACCATGGAGAAATGGAGTGCTAGATTACATGGTTGTTTAGTCTGATCCAAGAGTGCTTCTCTTACTTTAGGCACTTACAGTGATAACCAAGTGTTGTGTACCTCAGGTAAGGGCATGAGACAGAAGAAAAGAAAACCTAAACAAGTACTTTTTAAAGTCACTTAAAAAGAAAGGAGGCGTAAAAATATTTTAAATAAATAAATTAAATAATACTTCTGCTTATTAGTTCCTCTTCGTGGCCTCTGTGAATCACACCCTGGGTAAGCCGTGCCTGGGCGGACTCTCATTGGAAAGTTCAGGAGCTTCTGCAGTAGCAAAAAACACATTAGAATAAGGCACTTCCCCCCTCGTATAAATACCTTGGCATCAAGGCTCCCCTTTCAGTTTTTCTTTCAACTGCTGCGTTGAGAGCCTCATAGTTTCTGCTTCTGTGAGTAAAAGACAAAAAGAGCTTATTCTTGATTCCTTCTTCTTATCAATCTTTTTTCTTTTAAACTTTAGTTCAAATTCATTATCATCAAAGACTTTTTCCTTTTTGCTTTGCTCAGCCTCTGGCCTCAGCACCCCCCATCATCGTTTTTCTCCTTAAATTATTTTTCTCTTATTCATGGCCCCTTTGGGCCTGTTTAAATACTGTATAGTCTGTGATAACAAAATACCATTTTCCAACGGCGACGCCAAGTGTCTTTTTTGCTTGGAAGAGATATACACACCAGACGTCCTCCTGCCAGCACTGCAAGAACTTTGAGCATGGAGTCATCCGATCTTGCTTATCCAGATTAAAACTCTGTCTTTGGGAGCAATCCCTTCAACCAACCAAAATGGCCCAACCTCCTTGTAAGGCCACTGTGACATTTACCACGTGGCCCCTGCTTGTTTCTCCAAACAAAGGGCTCACACTATGTCATCCCACCAGCAGATACCAATTATGACGTTCCCTCTTTTTCTCACTGTCACCAATAGATTTCCTTTATCCACAATACAGTCGTGCCCCGCTGGACAATTACCCTGCTCTACGATGAATCCGCATTACGTTGACGTTTTTGCGATCGCAAAAGCGATTGCAAAATGATGGTTTAAATGGGGGAATTTCCCTTAGCAATGATTGGTTCCCTGCTTCGGGAACCGATTTATTGCTTTACGACGATCAGGAAACAGCTGATCATTGGGTTTCAAAATGGCTGCCAGCTGAAGAAAATGCCCCCCCACTGTTTTGAGGACTGATTTTTCGCTTAACAGGCACCAGAAAATGGCTGCCGTATGGAGGAACTTCAGTGGATGATTCAGCCCATTGGAACACATTGACAGTTTTCAATGCGTTTCAATGTTTTTTTTTTTAATTTTGTTTGACGACGTTTTCACTCTACAGCGATTTTGCTGGAACAAATTAACGTTCTCAAGTGAGGCACCCCTGTTTGG